AACGATAGATCACAGCCATGTATATCAGTAATTGAAATTTGAAGCTCTCATCATTTTTTGTTCTCTAGATACGTCTAATAAACCGTCGAATATGGAATACCCTGTATATTTCTCAAACTACACCTAAACGCTTTGATTTCCACAAACTTTATTGAAAAAATATATCACAACATGTTTCGCTAAACATTAGCTTTTTCAGGTGATTCTGAATCACTTTCAATAAAGTTTGTGGAGATCAAATCGTTTAGGTGTAGTTTGGGAAATTACTATGGATCTTCATCAACTAACGGCCGAATCAATAAAAAAAACCCTGTATATACTTGTGATGCACTGTTTGGAACCTTTGGTGAAGTAATTAATATTACTGGGGTTTTTTCCAACACAAAACCGTTATTTTAACACCTCTACACGTGTTTCGATCAAACTCCTCCTCTTGAAGATGATCGCTCGGTGATCAAAACACGTGTCGAGGTGTTAAAATAAAGATTTGGTGTTGGGAAAAGACTCGAGTAATATTCACCCTGTTTGAATACAATTCAGTAATGAAAACTCAATATGATTACAGCTCGGGTAGCTTTCATGATTGGCCATCGTCAGAATTATTGTGAGAAGAACATTCTTTGAGGAAAGCAATTGTTGAATAATATTTATGACTAGTATAATATAAAATTTTGAGTACTTACTTTCGAAAGAAGAATGTAGAACGCTAAACCAAATGCAATTATGAGAATGGAAAAAACCATTAGAACCTTGATGAGTGTTTGCAGTATCTCCAGGAACATAACTACATATATTCCAACTTGATCAAATCTTTGTAGTAATAGTAGAAGATTGAACCAGCTCATGAAAATAGTGAGCGATGCGCAAGAAAACTGAAGGTCACACATTGTGCTCATAAATATTGGTAACACCATTGTCAGGGCAGACATATATAATAACCAGGTAAGCAAATTCATGGGGTTCGTGAAATAAATAAGTTTCTGATCATGTAATTGCAACAGTTCTCTGAAAACGTTCATTCCAATGTAAGTAATTATTCCCAATCCATTCATGTACATCACTGGATTAATTTCGACCATTAGGATATTTTCCTTGCTGAGATGAACATATTGCTGAAAAATAAAAAAAGTTATGTTTTTTTTTTGAAAAACATAGTTTAATCGTTCTTAGTTCATGAAGTAAAAATTCAGTCATATCCAATGCAACGCAATTTGCAATATTTCTGGTGCAGATGAAATAAAAAATTAGTTGACAGAGTAACAGAATGGGATCCAAGTTACAAAAAGTTGACAAAAGTGATACGAGGTAGAGATACATCCATCCACCACCTTCAGAAACCTTCCCACAAATTTATAATAGGTCTTCACCTATCTTTTTCTTGTTGAGAAATGGAAGGGCAAAAGTATCAGCTGAAAATATTGATACCTTGGTGATGTTTCTGAATATTTTTATATAAGGTGACGGTGACACTAATAATATCTTCTCATTAATTGAAATATTATCAACAATTCTAGAGACTTTATAAACAATACAGTTTTTACTGTTATTATCTGTGAAGTTTTTGATATTTATCGAATTGGCAGCTACTGTTGAAATCTGGTGATATACGTAATTAGATAGAATTTATATTTATTGCATTAAAAATTGAGGAAAACAGAAATTCTTCGCAACCACTCTAATGAAGAGTCTCTTTCATCACTGGTAAGTGGTGTTGAAAATATTGTAATCAGTCTCCCATCGAACCTAAAACGAGAGCAAAGATCAGACTTCTGAATGGTAACGTTACGTCACCAACATGTCAGAGTTCGACGAATTTCGATGATTCTCAATTAGGATACATATACGAGTCTATCCGGAGATCAAGCACATAGTTCTGACATCAGTTCAGGACAGTCGAACAAGCAACAAATGAAAAAATGAAAAACTGTGATAATTATGAAGTTAAATTGAAGTATAGTATTCAGTTTCAATTTTGCAAACGATATAGTGCAATAACCTACCTTCCAACAGCCCTCCTTTAATAATATAGTTAGAGAGCTAACTGATTTCGTTATTCAATAATCACTTCTGAATATATAAGAATATTTCGTTTTGGTGTGTCCATACTTTTCAGCAATACTCTCAAGGGCATACACTTTGTCAAATGTTTTTGTCTGCAGAACTTCAAGTTGTTTGTTTTTGGTATAGTAATCTTCAAAATACAAATTGTTATCCATTAAAACACTTTGTATTTCATCTCTTCTCGAATTTGTATTCGTTAATTTGATGAGATGTCGCGAATAATAGGAAGCGTTGTCAAGAACTATTACACTATTCGCATCCAAATTTGATATCAATGTGTTTTCAATCTTTTTTCGAAAATATTAGCTTCCATGTTCTTATGATAGTCAAAATTACAGTCCTCAGGTTTTTTTCCACATAATATCAGAGAATTCGGAATCCATCCTTTACTTCCTCCGCAATGCAATGATTAGTCGCGATCCTTTGTTTGCAGGCATGTTAGGCATACACAATTTCGAACCATCAGACCACCCTTTCGTGACTGTGTCGTGAGTGTTATACCAAGATTCGTCCAAATAGAAAATTTGCCGTTGTTCTTGTCTATATTTAGTTATTTGCTCTGCTTATAACTGCTTGACGTTTGTTCATTATTTCAAATCTGAATCCTAATTTCTTTATCCAATTCTGAAGAGTTTTGTCACAGCAGCTCACGTTATGGCCGGGAGGATTCAATTTCTTCCTTATGATTTCAGTTATAATTTTTATATCAGATGAACATCTAAAGGTTTTGGTAATTCTGTATGACATCGCGTCTTGCGTTCATAAGGTTTGTTTTGGACTATTTTACGCACAGCTGGGAAAGGAATTTCGGTTAAATCTGATGTCGCTTGTAATATTTTGTTTTCCTCGAAACTAAACTTGAGATGGAAATTCTTATATATATATTGAAAAATACTCTTTGTGGTTCAATATTCAAATGCATACGAATCTTATTCACTGGTATCTCTTTTTCGCATTGTTCACCATCGCTATTGGAATCACTACACTGGAAAGAGTCTGCGTTGTTATCACACTCGTTATTACTATTAGTACTTGTCCATGGACGTCACATTTTAAACAGATAACAAACATTTTAAGTAAATATAAATGCACCAATATCGAATTTCAGTTCTTGAACTGAACACGATGGCGATAACCATCCCCTTATTCTCGATTTCCATTCGTCACCTTAACATGACTTCAAATTTAATTCTATGACTCTTCAGCCAATCATTAAACTCGGTTGGTAAAAATTATCCAATGCGAACCGCCAATTCTTCAGTCAACGTGGACTATTTCGCAGCCAGTTTATTTCTATGTATTGGTTTTTTTGGCCTTTGAGATTGCCGACAACTTTAAGTGTGCACAATAAAGTTTACTTCGACTAGACCTATTTGATTAGGTTCATCAGTTATTCCATACTAGCTGGGGTACGAGGCTCCGTTCAGGTGCATGTTTGATTTGAGATTATGTGGTAGTTAAAAGGAAAGTATGAAATTCAAATACGAGACGATTCTGGAATGTTCCTCGTTACTCTAGGATGTTCCCGAATGTTTCAGATTATTACCATTTCCAGATATTCTGTTCCGGCTTGTTCTGGAATGTTGTGAAATTCTCTCAAATACTCCCACATATTCTGGACTGGTCTAGACATTTTTATAGGTTGAAACTTCCAGACCAAAAGCGCGCCCTTCAGGTGAAAACGGGAACCTACTTCATGGATGTGGGATAGAGAGCTACTCCTCCATATAACAATGGTGACATCAATACCTAGTTCGTGACACTGTAATAAGAAGTGACACTAGATAAGAAGTGTTATTGAAAAAACAGTGAATTCAAATATAGGAACAAATAACTGCGACGAAATTACAACTGGCTGGTATACTTCAAATAAAAGGAACGAAAATAAGAAGGTGGAGAGAAACCACTAAAATGAGAAAAAACTGGAGGAATATGAACATATTGAATATGAAACATTTTTATAAAAATTGGTATTTCATCAACACATTTTTCATTGAAAATGGCAGTCTGTGATGAAATTAATACTTTTAGCGGCCAAGTAAAAGGAACTGGTGAGTTCCTTTTACTTGGTAAAATCAACGAACGGGTCATGGAAGAGAAAAGAAATGAATGAACAGATTTCGAAAAAAGTGAACAAGAAATTGAACGAACACTTACATGAAGCAAGTATCTCAAGGCCAACTACGGACCAGGCATTAATTGAAATTCAGACATTTATCGAAAGGTTAATAAAGGATACCGATATGTTGCAAGCTTTGTGGCTAGACAGATACCAAAAAATGAATAAAACATTGATTAATTTTCTATAGTTTAAGGATACGAAAAGGGATTAGGAAATAATTGAGTTGGTCTTTTCAGGGAACTGGGTTTTCTGGAAGGAGGTATTGTTATAATTGCGGAAAAGTACTTGAGATTACGATAATGAACATCTTGCATTACTACGTCTAGATAAAGCCAAGGAGCAAGTCACTTTTCGTCAATTTTTCGTATGTTATGATAATGATTGTTCCAGATGCTTATACCAGAATCGAGCAGACGAGTTTTCCGGGGCGGAATGACTTGAAGACACCAAAACAACACCATTGGCCCTTGAGAGTTGGCTATCTCACCGTTGACCTTTGGGAGTATACACCTGACTTCTATATGGTATCGAGACTATGTCAGGCTCATCCAATGAATGAGAAGAGTTGGGAGAATTTCGACGGTATTCAATAATATATCTGAGTCAGATATTCAACAAAAGTCCGTTCTTGAGGAGGAATATCAGAGTTTTCCATAGAACTATGATTCTTTTCAAACTGTGGAAGCTGGAAATCCCCAAAAAGGTCGATAAAAATCAACGGAGCTCGGATTAGTTCGAAATTCGGAATAAAGTATAAAGCGACACAATGAGTGAGCTGAGTGCGATAGTTATAAAAAGTAATTAAATTGTATATACAGTTTCAATTTTGGATTTATATACAAAATTGATGAATCCAACACTTTATTCTTACTGAGAGCCCATGCATAGGTATGGCGATAAGCGATAGATTCGAAAATTTCAATAAATGAGCCTACCAAAAATGAATGAATTGATCGATGTAGTCGTTACTAAATGGTAGGAGATCATTATAAAAATGAGAAATAAAACTCCCTATGTGATACAAAAATATTTTTCAAAAATAACCGACATTCATTTTCATTCATAACCGATTTTTTCTTCTGAAAATTCGATCTTAGATATAAATACTTACTTCATGGCTTATACTTGTGTTGTTGATCGAGTAGTTTCCATTTTGATGCTCCATTAACTGAGATGAGAAGGAGGTAACAAATGTTAGAAAGATACAGTAGAATGAAACATTAGCCATATGAAAGTATTTTCCATAGGAGTTCCATTTCATTTGTAAGTATTTTTGACTTAGAGGATGGGCTAATAGTTCTACTCGTCCATGAGTTACCATTGCCTGTAAGTAAAGAGAAGGTTTGTCTTTTAAATTAACCTTTTGAGGTTGGGTGAGATAACAATCTTTGTCTTAGGACAAATTTCGAACCACAACATCACAGGAGCCATGAGCACAACACCAACCGCGGCAATGGAATCAATTACTGGTCTGACCCCTCTGGACCATGTTACGATTGCGCACAGCTGGTGTAAATTTCGAAGTAGGAATGGATCAATTGAGGCTGAGCATATGGCAAGAAACGCTTACTGCGCAACCCCTGCTGCAGGCAGCGAGTGATGCAATTGAACCAGGTTGGTGTTTAATAAACTATACAAAATACAAATTGAGCAGAACACAGACAACGTGTTAGCTCAGGGCTAGTACTAGAGTGCCACCAAGACTCAGCCAAAGCCTCGGTAGATAACATTATCCTGAGGTGGGTTAGAGGACACGACAGGAGTAAAGGTAATTACATTGCCGACTCTTTAGCCAAGTAAGCGACTGGACTGAGAATTTTAGGACCCAGTGACACCTACGGCCTGATGACTTCAACAATTGCGGAACTAGCCAAACGTCACACCCATGCTCAATCTCTAAAGAGGTGGGATGGACTCAAAATATGCAGTCGTGCCAGGATCACCCTGGGCGACCCTGGGAAGCTGGCGCTGAAGAAATATCTGGCGATGACCAAGAAAAATCTACGATTAACAGTAGGATTTCTGACTGGTCACTGTCAACTACGGGAACACCTCCATAATATAGGGCTAGTGTACACACCTCTATGCAGGATGTGTAAGTAGAAACATGAAACTGTCAGGCATATCCTATGCTAGTGTCCGGAGTTATCGTCAATAAGAGAGTGTGTGCTCGGCGAGTCTTGGCCTACACCTGCCGATATAAAGGAGATGTCTCCTAGTGACCTGTCCACCTTCTTGGAAAGGACAGGATGGACGATGACCTGGGAGGACAACTCCTAGTGAGGATGTACAATGGGGCACATGTGGCCTTCACTCACCCTCCCTACTCAACAGATACAGATATCTTTTGGTACCATTTACAAGAAAGAAAAATAATTGTTTTTTATTGTCTTGTAAGGTTCTCAAGGAGTCGTATGCATTTTTATTAGACACACAAGTGTTTGATTGATAATTCAGCTACGCTTGAAAACTAATTGATGAAATTCTCCGCCGATAGATTACATTCAAAGGTAGATGATATGTTGACATTAGTATATTCATAATTTATTAGTTTGAAGTATCCCTACATTTCTCAGTTGAAGTCAAAATATGCTTTATCGCCTAAAGATTGCCTGAAGAAGCAATAATGCACTGAGCCATCAACTAAAAAAGAGGTGGTTCTGGATAGATAATAGGTCTTGTTTTTTAAAAAACACCTATTTGTAACTAGTTGTTTGACAGGTATGTATAAATGAACATACTGGTAACCAATTTCAGTTTTACGCATTACCCATGAGACTGTTAAATATCTCTCTCTTTTCTAACGCTCTATAGTTATCAGAGCTACTATTAATAAGGGAGTTACCAATATAACCCGATATAAGCTTCGAGAAATACTTCTGATTCCAATGGATATTTTGACTATATGAAATTGATCTTTCAGAGATGAACTCAATTTGGTAGTTGTATGCTTCAAATTCAAAATATGTAGTTTATGAAAGGAAGACTGATTTGATATTCAAATAGATACCGTTATTAAGTTTCAACTTATTTATTAATGTTTTATTAACTTACGTTAAGGGCTGGTAGGGGTGCGAGCTTAGTAACATTTTCCTGGTCGGATGAAACAGGACCTTGCAAAATTGTAAAGTTGTATTTTATCTAGAAAACAAAATATGAATGATATTGGAAAAATATTTCCTTAATAAACTTACATAAAACGATTTTGAGTCCTTTTTGCACTCTGCCTTTGTTATACATTTATTTTGTACTGCTTCGAAAACTTCAGGCATTGCACCAATCAACGCTAGAGTAATACAAGGATGTTTGTTAGATTTGAGCATCATTATTTCTTGTGCTCTGAAATATGAATGAATAATTTTATATTTCCGAATGATAACGTAATTCACATATTTTTTGCGTTCAGTAGTTTCTACAATATAGATCAGGTACATTTCTTTTATATCTTTCCGTAGAATGTCAACAGAATAGTATTGAGATCGAGTAGACCAGGAGGCCATAATCAAACAAAGGGGTGGATAAATTATATGAAATATGACCCGTTAAAAGAGTTGGAAAACATATTCCAACTTAGTTGTAGCGATAATTCCCTGAATGGTTTCTGTGAAGTGAATATAAAATATTTTCGAATTGTTACCAGTAAGAAAAGAATATAGTATTGAATATTCGAAACCACTGCAGGAATTTGGGTGGATGTTAAAACTATCAAAAATAATATTGGTGAGAAGTTGAAGCTCAGTTTCTTCACTCCAGAATGAAACATGTCGTCAAGTGAACATGTCGCTCTCGTTGCGGAACTCAATAAGCTTAAAAAAGTGACTTAATAGATCTTTTAGCTTGAAAGCTCTTCCCGAGAGTGCTTCTGAAAATAATACTACAACAGCTTATGAAAAACAATGTGACATGTGTAAGTTGTGAAAATGTTACTTCAGTTGATTCATTAGATCCTGATAAACACCAGTTACAGTTCATCGTTATAAAAAGTAAGCAGATTGAAAGAGAGCTCCCGAAAAAGTAAATGATCAAATGGCAAAAAGGCTTCATGATCAGGAAGAGATTACATTTTTATTGAAAAAATCTAACCGTAAACCAAAATAAGGCGGTCGATACAGTGATCTCTACCAACAGAGATAAAAACTGCGTGATAGTTGATAAGGCTCCGCTATCGGCGCTATCTTCGATTCGGGAGACTGAACACAAAGGAACAGAATGCAGACACCAGTGATCGTCGACAACCCACTGCAAAAGCACAAAGAGGAAAATCACGAATACTGAAAATGGGTTCAAATACAAATCAAAATTTAAAAATTCAGGGTGCCGCCAAAGACTTGGAGTGGTTGTACGTTGGCAGAGTATCAGGTCATGTTGAAAATGAAGTGATGCAGGCATTCCTGAAAGAATCCTTCCCCAATCAAAGTATGAAATGTTACAGGTTGAACTTCAAAGGTAATAACAGTTCATTTGAAGTGGGTGTCACAAAGGCGTGTAAAGAGCTCATGCTCTAGAGTTATTGTTGGCCGAAAATGTATTTATTAAATAATTTGAATTTTTTCGTAACTGATGTCAATACCTCTTGTGAAGATTATATCCAGGTGATACCTCAACGTAAGACAATCACCCTAAAAATTGCCCGCTTAAAACATACGCAGTCTGCGAAACAAAGTGGATAAACTTGAATGTCCAAAGGTATTTCTCGAAAACATGGAACACTTTCTAGACTCAACACTGAAGCATACTGATGCCAACAATGCCAAAACTATTTGTTACCTTTTTTCATGTAACGGGCTGTACAAGCGTATAACCGAATTCACTAGAATTAGTAAAAATAGCAGTACTGTTATCGATAATATCTTCACGAATATACATAGAGACGTCAGTAGTGAAGTGATTCATGTCGATTTTTCAGATCACTCTCTACAGAGTGTTTCTGCATAAATAGAAACTTCTGATAGACAAGGTACTGAATATTCTTATCACAGGGTTTTCAGTCCCAGCAATGAAGATTACTTCAAATATTTCTATCTTGTGAATCTTGGGAATTCATTGACAGAGCTGATCCAAACTGCGATGAGACATTTACTATTTTCTATAATATTTTTTTGGAACTGTTCAGTATCGCTTTTTCTCTAGAACAAAACAGGAAGCGAAATGAAAATAAAAAAATGCACAGACTGTTGATCACTGAAAGTTTTATTCACGAAAGCAAGTTCTTAAGACAGGTTTATTCAGACATCGAGACTCGAGACTATGATGACATCCTTCAACGATATATACTGTTACTCAATTGCCACCATAAAAAAATTAGCCGAGCAAAGGAAGAGTATTACGGAAACAGGCTCGCATCAGCCTAAAACAAATCAAAATCTGCGTGGTCAATAATTAATGAGAACACTGGCAAAACACACAAAGCTGCAAAAAGTAATGGAATTATCAATGGTGATAATCAACTCATAATAGAACCTAAGGAAATAGCTCAAACCTTTAATTATTTCTTTGTAAACTCTGTAAAAGTCCTGGTGAAACATGGCCGTCCAATTGGAGAGCCTCACAATGATATCAAAATAAATTATCTTTTCTTTAAGTCCTATTGATGGAACAGAGCTGCGTGATATACTAAAGTCAATTGCCCAAAAACACTCTTGGGGTCTCGATGAAGTCCCATGCTCCCTCTTATATGAAGTTGCAGACGAAATCTTAACACCTGTCACAGATCTGATCAACTCGTCTTTCGTTGAGGTCCCAATTCATAAAAAAGGTAACAAAAAAACCGTCAATAAGTACAGAGGCATAGCCCTATTATCACCTTTCTCTAAAGCTTACGAAAAAGCATACAACAGACGTCTTACTGACTTCATGTACAGGTATGGAGTTCTCAATAAATATCAATTTGGTTTTCAACAAGGATTAGCTACTAAGGACGCAGTTCTCTCCTTGTATAATTATATTCTCAACAATATTGACACTGATAATAAAACCTTGAAAATATGCTTTGATCTCACTAGGGCCTTCGATAAGGTTGATCATGATTTACTTCTCAGTAAACTATACAACTATGGTGTGCGAAGCTCCGCACGGATGGAAACATATCTCCAAAACAGAACACAATGTGTTAAACTGTATGAAGATGCAAAGACCCACATTATTTATTTCATTCGTCAATGATCTCTGCACTATAAACGAAAATAATTTCACTGCCCGATTCGCTGACGACACCTCTTTTACTGAAAATTCGGTTAATAATATGAACTCTTACTGCTACAGCAATGGCCTTGTTTTAAATATCTCTGAAATGAACAGCATTGTATCAACTCCAAAAAATATCGATTAAAGTGTTCTAGTAAGATACGACCATACTTAAATAGAACAAAAAGAAGTCATTAAATTTCTTGGGGTACAAATCAACTCACACCTCACTTGGTGGCATCACGTAGACTATATAACTAACAAGCTATCTAGACACTGTTATGTTCTATGGAATCTTATAAAAACTGTTCCTCTGAATATCCGACTCAAATACTATAATGCACCCTGAAATATTGCATCATTTGTTATGGAAATTCAACCAGAATCAATCAAGTATTAGTTCTCCAAAAGAAAATCCTAAGAGTTATGACTTACAAGGGTCCCACAGACTCATGTAGGGATTTATTATCAAATCTCAAAATTCTAACAGTCATCCCATTACAATACTTAACTGTGTATCTTATGTGAAGTCACACGATGAAAACTTCACAAGCAGAAAAGACTTAGTCGAGCTACAGGATGTAATCTTCGCGAAAATCAGATGATTTCGATTCCACTTCATCACTCATCTTTTCGGATATGCAGTTAGTTAGTACCTCGTCCACTAGATGGAGTGACATTTTGTTGTTCGCTCCAACTTAGGAAGAGGAATGAAATACTCTGAAAAAATTCCGATTTTCAATTATGGAATATAATTGACTTCAGGTCGATGATGACCACTATCTTGCACTGATGACTGGCTAATGAGCCCGAAACCGGTCTGCAAGTGTGCTCATTCCAAAATTGAAGGTCAACTCTTTCAGTTTTATTGCCAATTGCATATGCAAGAAATTTTCTGTGAAAATTCCTGCACTGACGCCTGTCGGGTATAATCCAACGCCCTTCGTGGTAGTAGCCGTGGAAGTAATTGTTTTCTGATAGGCGTTAAAATATACAACCTACTGTGTAGGTATATTCGAGACTAGCTTGAACGTTTAAAGTTCATTTCTTTAGATTTGATTCCAAAATAATCTATTTACAAATATATGTAGATCAGGCAGGGAAGTAATGAATGTCATTAGGAACTATCATCGATGATATGAGTGGATTAAAATCATTTGGGACATACTGTCGTGCTTTTATGAATGAATTGAGTGCTTCATCTTGTAATGTTACACAGATTGGTGCTGAAGAGGCGAAAAAGCAAGTGTATTATTCCGAAACGTCAAATGTCCACCATTGAGGATGATCAGTGTTCCATCTAAGCAAAATTTTCTCTTTTTTATATAATATACGAGTATTGTGTAGCAATGTTGTGAATAATATCTGATTCAATTCCATAACGAATGTTCGGGGAGTAAACTGGATAGGAAAAAGTGTCTTTTGTAAAATTCAATGTAGTTGTTTCGAGAAGGCATTTTCTACTAGTTTGTATCTGGAAGTTACTTCTTTGCATGATCTACGCATCTATGTAAACAGTTTATTTTTGAATTTTTCGATTTCTTCCTTTTTTTTGGATGTTTCCTTCATTTTTTTTTGTTTAAAGATAGAAAAGAATATTACTGGAGTTCAATTCATCTTCAGGAGAAAAATTAATCTCACTTGGTTTGTGGGAAAATAATTTTAAAAGTTACTTTCGATCGATATCTGTATGTACAAGGGAATCTTGTTGACTCACTTTCTTTTTTGTTATCATTGAAAATTTTTCAAATGATGGTTGTTCAAGTTGCTTTCTTATAAATTCTTCATTATAAACGGTTGTAATTGAGTTAGCAATTTTTGAAATGAATCTTCTGGGGACTTGAATCTTCTATTTTGTTGACTCACTTTCTTTTTTGTTGTCATTGAAAATTTTTCAAATGATGGTTGTTCAAGATGCTTTCTTATAAATTCTTCATTATAAACGGTTGTAATTGAGTTAGCAATTTTTGAAATGAATCTTCTGGGGACTTGAATCTTCTATTCATTTTGAATTTTCAGAAAATTGGAGATGAAAACTGAGAAATTTATCGAACTGTCACTTCACTTTTTTAATACATGGAAAAAAATTCGCTGACCTGTTATCATGTGTTACCATCGCCAAGGCTGCTTCAGGAAATTTATAATAAATTGCGTAGTCTATGGCACTCATCTCCATTTGGTTATAAAGGAGTTTACATCCCAGATTGAGGAGTAGTCTAATAGTGTTCGATTTATTTTCAGTTGTTGCTAGATGCAGTGATGTGTTCTGAAAAATAAGGGTAGATATTCAGTAACAAATTATGACATAATAATAAAAAACTAATTCAATTAGAAAAATCAGACAGAAAATAATAGCTGGACTGCAATGAATGATAACAAGTTTTATTTTCCAGTGAATTAATTCGTAAAATATGTGTTCCAATAATTGAAAATCTATTGCGGCAGTTTTATCGCCAACAGCAAATGCAGGAATAACTTCAGTGAAGAATCCTGCACTGACACCTGGCCTGAACGAATTGTTCCTTTAGATGATTTGATTTATAGCCAGTCTTCAAGTATGCACGCTGACTATATATGTGCTAATGCCGCGCAGAAAGTTGAAGTAAAATCATCACCTGTGCAACGCCTTCGATTTGGATCAGTTCGAGTCGATCATTCGTAGCGATTAGATGTAACTGCGAATAACCATAGAGTGACTATCTGGGATTAAAAACCAAAGCGGTCAATGACCTGAGTTCTCATCAGAACTACTCGTGTGCAAAGCACATAGTTAATTTTTTACCTTTTTCAGCTTCTCTTTTTAGTTTTTTCAGAGCCCTATAATGGAAATTATGAAGGAAAAACTGGAATTCCTAGAGAAGGAAACATATATGCTGCATTAGCAAAAAGACGAATCAACCAGCTCGATAAAGCAGTTAAAGGAAATGTTGAACTACATAGAAGCGAAGTTGATGCGAAAAATGAATAGAGAACTAACCAGGGCTGAAGAAGTCTAAATGCCAGAACAACTCAATTTGGAAGCAGAAACCTGCTGTGAAGACCGCGAAAACAAAGAAGAATCGAGACAAACCAAATGGCCACATGGCCCGGAGATCACTTCTGAAACCGAATCTGAGGACGGTTTTCAGACAGTAGAAAGGACCAAACCAAACAGCCGAACAAGACGACTCCTCGTGCAAAAAGCAGCTGCGAGAAAATCAGAGGAAACTGACACGACGGGATCAACCGATCAACAATGTAGACAGGCCAACGACTGGAGAAGTGACACCAACCTCAACTACAACAAACAAGGAAGTGGTGCCAACCGTAGGTTCAAATATGCCGCCACCAATAGTTCTTCACGATAGTCAGAGATCGAACGAAATTTCCAAAGACCTGGAAAGGAGAAGGATTCAGTACCACCGGGCGAGACTAACGAAGGATGAAATATATATTCATACAAACAATGAGGATGAATGTCGAAAAGCCATGAAATACATGGAAGAAAAGTAAGTAGACTTCCATACCTACTTGATAAGGAAGGAAATCGCACTTCACCTGGTGATCCGGAGAATACCAGAAAATGTGGAGGAGGTAGACGCCGCAATCGACCTAGCCAAACAAGAATATACAGTCCTGGAGTGTCACCGATTGACATCCAGGTGTACGAAAAAGGTTTTATCGTCTTTCCTGGTAAAAGTACAAAAGAAGAAAGGGAAGATATTCGCATTGAGAACATGCGTGAACCTTACCGTGCGGCCGGAGCCGCAAAGAACGAACAGGGGTCTAGTGTCTCAATGTCACTGGTGCCAGTTTTTCAGGCCCGCTCAAAGATGATGCCACGCAACTGCGCGTTGTGTAAAGTGTAAAGAAAACCACGACACCAGAGAGTGCCAAAAAACAAGAAAGACGCCAGCGGAATGCGCCAATTGCCTGGAAGCGCATCCAGCTAGCTACAGGGGGTGCAAAATATTCCCCAAACCAAGGAGAGCACAATCAGCATGGAACATTCCCAGGCAATCGGATATTCAAAGGCCCAAACCTGAAGTAAGGCGCACCGAAGGCGCAGAGAGCCGGAGGCAATAGAAACAACAATGACCTAATAAACGTACTAGGTAAACTGACGACCGAGCAGCAAGCGGTATTAACTGCACTACTGACAGTACCCGAAAACTGTTAATGCCAGTACGGATTCCAGAAAACCTAAAAATCGGATCGTAGGACAATAACGGCGCCACAGAAAGAAATAACGAGCTCAGGGAGTTGACATCACGGCTGAGCAAAGACGTCGTGGCAATCCAGGAGACCAAGATCAGAAATAACACGAATTTTCGCATCCCAGGATGTACTAAGTATAGGACAGACAGGCCAGGGGTCGTTTGCCGCCGAGGGCGCGGCACTAAAACTCGGAGAGACAGTAGCGATCAGAGTGAAACTAAAGCTCCACGAACAGCTGAGGATATTATCGGTGTACGTACCCTCTTAGGAAAGACTACAGAGAGCCGATGTAGCAGAAATGTTCTCAGACCACCATGCAACAGTAGCCAAAGGTGACTTCAACGCAAAGGAATGGAACGGAAACCAAAGAGGTAGAGAACTCTCCAGACTGCTAGAAGACTTTGAGGACACTGCGGTAGTTGCTCCAGAAGCCCCAATGCACTACCCACGAGAAGACCATATCCCAGACATTCTCGGCCATAGTGCAAAACATCCCTACATGGAAGTACTAAATGAAGGATCGTCAGATCAAAACCCTATCCTATTCACAGTATAAACTGGCGAAAGGGAACCAGACGAACCAACGACGATCCACGACGCGATAGGAGTTCTCACTCCCATCGATACCAAGAACAAAACAACCAACAATAGTTTGCACTCTACGCGGACGACACGGCTCCAATGGCGAGATCAACTAGCCATGCGCAAGTTACCAGATACTTGCAACAGCAAACGGACAGATTAGAGGAATGGACCAACCTTTATAAAATTATTATGTACTCTGACAAGAGTCAGGCAATACTGTTCACCTGGAGGATGGTACACCCGGAAGAAAACGTCATCTTCAACGGACAAGAAATTCCGGGCACCAACGAAGCGAAATGCCTGGGAGACACTCTCGACAGAAGACTAACGTTCAGGGCCCACATACGGCAGAGACTAGGGCTGGCGAGAGCCGCCCGACAAAAACCTATATCCGATCATAGGTCGCTGAAGCAACTTAAACCGGTTGCTAATCAAGACCGACAGCCATCTTGGGTTCTTCCAGGCTGGAGCCTTGCTTCCTTGCCCTTTGAGCTGGATAATCAAGACCGTACTGCTCCCATGCCTGTACTGCGTGGGGCTCAGCGATATACAGACGCGTGCGAGCCACCGTGAACGCATCAAGATATGTACTAAATAGATTCATATACCAGGAACTGCACCTGGACATCCACTACGCAGACACGAATATGAGAGAACACCCCGAAAACGTGTTCAAAAGAGTAGATCACACAGCAGTCTAGCGCAGCAGTCCAGCGCAGCAGTCTAGCGCTACATGAAGCGCTCAACAAGAAAGACCCAAAACTCCAATAAAGAGACAAACACAAGAGGCCCACGAAGCAGAATCAGAGACCACTTCCGAGAGTTGCTCTCAGGCTGCTCCGGTAAGTATAAAAATTGTATGAACAGACTTAACATTCACTTCTCTTTCAGATCTTAAACAAACACTAGTTCGCGACTAAAAGACACTTGTCTCCGGTTAGAGGCCTCATGCAAAAATAAAAAATGTCACAGATGAAGAAAGACTGACTTTCGACCGCAGAAGGTCAGATGTCAAACTTGCTGAAGTGCCCATCAGCCGGTTGAGGTTCACTCTGCAATGAGTGGGGGTGGATGGACGAGATTCTAGCTTCTGCACACAGTAACCGTCTGAGGAAGATTCTATCTCAGGGCACTCAACCCAGAGGGTGGATGGGGGTCTTCGATTTGGAAGATTCGTTGAAAGTTATTTTGCACACTTCCGTCGGTATCTGCAAAGTCGTAGGTCTACATCAGAGGCAAGGGGTAAGGTGTTTTCACCTGAACCTGAAGTCATATGCACAATTCTGGAATATTAATCATATATTGAATTTCTACATACATTTGAATTTATTATGGGTTTCCATTGATGAATTGACATTTTTGAAAAGATTTTTTATTTTTATTTATTATTTTCATTATCGAATAATCAGTAATTACTGTGGTTGATTGTGAGACCGAGACAGTAGGCTTGTGGTATGAGAAATAAGATACATATTGTGACGAATTAAAGAATTAACTGTCTTAAATAAATTTATTTTAACAAAACTTCACTATCACAACTAATTTATATACATCACTTAGCAACTAACACTAAATTTATCTTCACTGTTTGTTAACCACTCGATTCGCTTTCTAGATACAGACTCCCTCTCTCTCTCTCTAGATACCTCTAGCGGTTTCGGTACTCATCTATTCTTTTCGTGGCGATTCGTCGATCGAATTCCTTTCGCGGTCCATCCTGTCAAGCCCAGAGGCTAATTTCGGGATTCAACAATGCCAAAACTANATCTTCATAGGACGGTTTGTCTCGAGAATGCTTTTTGGTCACCAAGTAGAAGATGTTTCTCTGACCCTTCTTCAACTGTAGCACTCCTCCGACTTCTGGATTCTGTCTCGTAATGTTTGGAGCTGACTGATTTTTTTGTTGAATACCACAGCGATGCCCTTGGACATTTGGAGATCCTCTGCCACGCAGTGAGCTAGTGCGTAATCAACTGGAACCTTGAAAAGGTCTCGTGGCTCTTCTCAAGTTATGCCATTCCATTCTCTGATGGTCTGCGGGCGCGAACTTGATCGTGATTTCCAGCATAAGTAGCCAATCTAATAAAATGGACGACCCTAGGCTTTCCTCGAGGTGGCTTATGGATTCGGTAGACGAGGTCAATAATCTTTTTCATGATTTTGTACGGACCTTCCTACGAGTTCCGCAACTTCGGTGATAAACCACGGCGTCTCTTAGGGCTGTACAGCCAAACTAGGTCAACGGTTTCGAATTCTCCAGCATTCGCCTTGATGTCATAGGCCTTCTCCATTCTATCGCTAGCACTCCAGATGTTCAGACGGACTCGTTCATGGATGTCGTCCATTCTCTGCCGAAGCTTGCTGACATAGTCTTCCGCCGCAGTGTCTTGTTCTGGCGGCGTTCCAAACTTCAGGTCGCAAGGAAGCCGCAGCTCTCGGCCCATTATAATATTGGCAGGGGTTTAGCCAGTTGACTCGTGCACTGCCGAACGATAAGCCAGCAGGAACAGGTGGAGGTATTGGTCCCAGTCTCTTTGATGGTCAGAGACTACCTTGGACAAGTGGCGGTTTATAGTCCTATTCATTCGTTCCACCATTCCGTCGGACTGTGGATTGAAGGCTGTGGGTCTGGTCTTTCGAATGTTCAACAGTTTACATATTTCTTGGAACAGGTTGGACTCAAAATTTCTGCCCTGGTCCGAATGCAGCTCCAGTGGGACACCGAATCGATATATCCATTCTTTTACCAGGACATCAGCGACGGTGAAGGCGTCCTGGTTGGGCAGGGCATAGGTTTCTGCCCACTTACTGAAGTTGTATTTGTTCCCATGGTCGGACTCTGGGAACGGGCCGGCGATATCGATGGCGATTCTCTCAAAAGGACTACCCACGCGCACGTTATACTGGCGCATTGGAGCTTTCGGTCGTATCCTAGGTCCGTTACTGGCAGCGCATACAGTCTTTGACGTCGGCTTGACAATTAACCCAGTAAAATCGTTGTCTTGATTTCTGGAGGGTTTTCGTTACTCCCAGATGTCCTCCAGTGACTTTATCACGGATTTCTTTGAGCACCTCCCGTCGTCTGCTCCTGGGTGCACTGTCTGGCGCCTTTCTTCTGCATCGTCTTCAGACTCCAACACCCGCTTCAGAACCCCGTTTTCCAAGGTAAGGGAGTTCCATTGTGCCCAGTAGTAGGACTTAACCGCTGGCGAATAACCTGCTACCTCCTGCCACGATGATCTTCGATTATTTTTCTTCCATCCGATGACTAAACCAAGATCTGGATCTTTCTCTTGGTCTTCCCTGATCATGTTGTCCTTCCAGTTGTCGTCTACAGCTGTAGTTCTATAAATAACTGATTCCTTCCTTCGTCGGTAATGTGAGCAGCCATCGGGACATTGTCTCCGTGAAAGGGCATCTGCGTTTCTTACGGGGGCTTGCTGTATACAGGCTGCTGATTTTTCTTTCTCACGAAACCTCTCTAGTTTTCTTGATTTGGTGTTGGTTCTTTGAATGCTTGGACATTTGCTACGCACATGCCTAATTTTCCCACGGTTTCAACATCTCATTGGTTTCCTCTCAGGCAACACTTCTTTCATTACTTTCCTGATGGTGGTCTCAATATCAGTAGGCACTTGTCCAGCTTCCTCGATAGCTCGAACTTTGCTCTGGCTCTTGCAGGATTGTTTTGCAGCCTCAAACTCCAGAGCACTTGCCAGTGCATCCATGAGATGTTTGGGATGAGCTAGCGTCAAGGCCTGCCTCGTCTCTTGGTCGCGAAGTCCATCTAAGAATGCCTGTACTGCTAACCACTCCATTACATTTTCGGGTGTAGCAGGATATGCCAGACGGACCAATCGAGCTATGTCGACTTCAAACTCCTGTAGGGATTCATCTGATTTCTGGCAGCGGTTCTTCAGCTGTGAATGATAAAGGTGCTCTAGGTGGGCCTGTTCATACCGCAGCTCAAGATGCTTTACAAGTTGGTTATAGTCTTCCTGTTCCTGGCAACGCCAATGTTAATGCTACCGTTTTTTCTCCTGCATTCTATCCATTCGCTCTGGCCGCAGCTTCAAATTGTCGGCGGTAATTTGCCAAGGAATTTTTTCGTCGAACTGGGGCGGCTTCATGGAGAGCTTTCCTGGTTCAGAACTGGCTTTGGAGTTTTCGGAAACCGTTTCTGTAGGGTGGGCAAAATTAACGATTTGGTTTTACAAATTGCTAATTGTTTCCTTTATCTCGCTGATTTCTGCCTGAACTCCTTTGATTTCCTCTACTTTTGTGTTCATTTCCTTCCTGATTTTATCTATCTCTGTTTCGATGGTTCCTATCCTCTCTTCGAGTAGACTCGCCACACCACAAAGTTTTTAAGCCTTCTGCATTTTCCAGAAGTTCTTCCTTCAAACTATTCGAATTCTCTAGAAATTTATCTTCCAAAATTTTCGAATTTTCTAGAAGCTTGTCTTCCAAACACTTCGAGTTTTCCAGAAGATTCTCCTCCAGGCACTTCGAATTTTGTTGAAGTTCATCTTTTAAACTCTTCGAATTTTGTTGAAGTTCATCTTTTAAACTTTCCGAATTTTGTTGAAGTTCATCTTTTAGCGATTTGGTGTTCTCCTCGAGTTTGCTCATTATTGAACTCAAATCACCCCCAGAAACTTCGTATAAATATGTTTCGGGATCTTCTCCTGATTCAATCAAGCTATCATATAGTCTCTTCTGGAGTACTGATTTCTTTCCGGAAGAATCTAGCTCTCTCCTCCAATTCTTGCTTCAATTCGGCGACTTTCAAGTCCACTAGGCGCACTTTCCTCGAACACATTTCGTCTCTTATTGTCTATTTTCCACAAAACTGAATACGTCCACTTATTTAAATCGAGTCCGAAACACTTATTTATTTTCACAAGTCTATTTTTCGCGAGAAAGGTCTATCAGTTTATGTTTCCGTAGTCTGGTACTGTCCACTTCACGAAACACAATGAATCACCAGTCTCTACGCGAAAGTTTTATAGTCAATTTCACCGTAATCCAAAGTTTGTCCACCAAGCGCTCACAAATTTATTTTAAAAATCCACTTCTGACCATTTGTAACGAATTAAAGAATTAACTGTCTTAAACAAATCTATTTTAATAATACTTCACTATCACAACTGATTTATATACACCACTTAGCAACTAACGCTTAATTTATCTTCACTGTTTGTTAACCCCTCGATTCGCTTTCTAGATACAGACTCCCTCTCTCTCTCTCTAGATACCTCTAGCGGTTTCGGTACTCATCTATTCTTTTCGTGGTGATCCGTCGATCGCATTCTTTTCGCGGTGAGTCATATGTTTGATGTCTAAGATAACGATCAGGGTCAGCTTCAGATTCATTACAATATGTTTTCGAATGAAAATTAGAAAGATATCTAGAGAAAACTGCATCGAATGTTGTTCCATGTCATGTGGTAGGTTCATTTCGGTTATTATTCATTTGTAGTTCTTATTTAATTTGTATTAAGTGCACCAAGAGTGTTCCCTCTTTGGACGCAAAATTAACATTCAAATCTTCTGTTAGAAATAGAGGTGCTCGCACCTCTTTATCTCTCTTGCCCCTACAGTAATATATGAAACGTAACTCTCCCTCTTCCTATCTTCACTAACTTATACCTACTTCTCAATTTCCGTTCGCCTCGCCCAATCACACTTCTCTTAAAGATCTCATCACCCATTCACCAGCTCCTCTCCAAGTAGAAAACTAATCACAGCTTGGTTATCTTCAGTTGAAAGTTCATCTGAATATCTGTAGGTACTGACTTAGAAATTGATGTTTCCAAATATTACTGATTCATGAGACTGTTACAGAATCAAGTGAAATATTTTTAATAATGTATCAATATACACACCCACATAATTTTGCAAATATGGAAAATTGCACAAAGCAAAGAAATTTACTCACCAAGTCTTTATCAGTTTGATCTAGCAAATGAGAATGTACTGAAAGCAACAACTCAATCGTTTGTGTATAACCATTCATGGCCGCCAAATGTAAAGGAGTTCTTCCATTATGGTCCCTGTGCAACAAAGCTCCTCTATCTAGCAATAATTTAACTACTTTTGTATGACCCTGTTGTGAAGCTATATGTAGAGGTGTCAATCCACCCCCATCACTTTCATTTATGATGAAAGTTCCTTTTTCGGAGTCAATGAGTTGTTTCACAGTATTGTATCGTCCGTATCTGTAATTGAGTAACATATAATTATTCACTATTTTTATACAAAAAAATGTGGGATTCTTCTGAAGAAAGGAAGAAAGCAAATGCTTTCAAAATAAATTCTTCACAAAGATGTGTAGATTATGCAAAAAAGTAACTTTCAGACCAAACTGGAAGAAATAAGCCCTCCCTAAACAATTACATACTTTCATATTGACATTGAATTACATGAAAGAAAAATACTTTCGAAACAACTACTTTTATATGAAAATTGAATTATATAAAATACACTTTAAGTTACTCATGCCATCGATGGCACTCTCAATGACATTTATTGCTTACGACGCGTAAAGCTTCGTGTCTCGGGCCAAGTACTTGCCGACTTGTTAGAGCTTGTAGTGTACACGGTTAAGCTAAGCAAATAACTTTGCACTTTTTTATTTCGAGACTGTTTCGAAATATTTGCAGCAAGTAGTGAGATTTTGTGAACTATTTTTAACTTTTTTTTTCTAATCTAAATTAAAATTCTGATTTTTTTCACAAAAATGGAGGAACGACGTGTTTGGAATAGAGAAGAAAGTCTTATGCTAATTGAAAATTTCTTTTTGTCATTTTCCTTTTCCTTTATTCGTTTTTTTAACTGAATATATATTATAACAGCAGCAGCCACTTGCTGAGACGACATTTTTCTGGAAATGTGTGTACACGTTACTCAAGCAAACGAACGTGCTAGAGTAATTTGCCGCAATAAATTTCTAAACAATTAGACTACAGTGTAGACACGCCGGCAAGTACTTGGTGAAAAAACTTTCGCAAGTTACTTGCAAGTGGACACGAGGCTTAAAGGCTCAGGAATAGGGGCCAGTTAAGGGAAGGACACGAGAGACCAGTAGCATACGCAAGCAGGAATTTGAAGAAAGCCGAACTGAATTATTCTACTACCGAAATAGAATTGTTGGGGTGATTTTTGGAAAACAAACCTTCAGATGTTACTTGTATGAGAATAAGTTCACTGTTATGACAGACAGACCATAGACTGTTGAAGTGGCTATTAACAATTAAAGACCCTGGCTCTAGACCTAGACTAGCTTGATAGGCTCTGACCTTGGGAGAATACGATTTTACGATAAAACACCGCGAGGGTAAACTGCATGGGAACGCTGACGCGTTAAGTCGTATGCACGATCGGGGGGATCACTACATTGAGACAGAGTTAGAAAAGTATGAAGAATATAGAAAGATACATCAAACGCCAAAAATGATGAAGCTTAAGATGAAAGTTGGAAATTTATTTTTTGCCCCGGAAGAGTGGGTCTTAGCCTACTGTGTCTCTCGAGATTTTGCGAGTGGAGACGGAATCGTACGTCAATTTGAGAAAATTTACGGAGCAGTAGAAACATTATTGCAACAAGAAAGAAACGTTGGAGAAGTCGCAGAACAAAGCTACCAGAACGTAATATATATTACCCAGTCACGAAAGTTCAGTATTGGGACAAACCCTCATATCGAACCATGTGGAATGCTTTTAGGGAATTCAAAAATGTTTGTGAAATTGATAGATATACTCATCTGGCGATGCCGCGAATCGGAAATGGCTTGGATAAATTAGATTGGGATACCGTTTTGGAAATTTTTTATTTCATAATGGAGAAAAGAGAATTGAAACTTTCTATGTTTCGTCCTATAAGGAAATTTTCGAACATATACATTAATTCGCTGGCACTCCGGATGTTCAGACGGACTCGTTCATGGATGTCGTCCATTCTCTGCCGAAGCTTGCTGACATAGTCTTCCGCCGCAGTGTCTTCTTCTGGCGGCGTTCCAAACTTCAGGTCGCAAGGAAGCCGCAGCTCTCGGCCCATTATAATATTGGCAGGGGTTTGGCCAGTTGACTCGTGCACTGTCGAACGATAAGCCAGCAGGAACAGGTAGAGGTATTGGTCCCAGTCTCTTTGATGGTCAGAGACTACCTTTGACAAGTGGCGGTTTATGGTCTTATTCATTCGTTCCACCATTCCATCGGACTGTGGATGTAAGGCTGTGGTTCTGGTCTTTTGAATGTCCAGCAGTTTACATATTTCTTGGAACTGGTTGGACTCAAAATTTCTGCCCTAGTCCGAATGCAGCTCCAATAGGACACCGAATCGACATATCCATTCCTTCACCAGGACGTCAGCGACGGTAAAGGCTTCCTGGTTGGGCAGGGCGTAGGTTTCTGCCCACTTACTGAAGTAGTCCATGGCTACCAGGATGTATTTGTTCCCATGGTCGGACTCTGGGAACGGGCCGGCGATGTTGATGGCGATTCTCCCAAAAGGACTACCCACGTCCACGTTATACTGGCGCATTGGAGCTTTCGGTCGTATCCTAGGTCCGTTATTGGCAGCGCATACAGCACACTATCTGCATCACTCATTGACGTCGGCTTGACAATTAACCCAGTAAACCATTGTCTTACTTTCTGGAGGGTCTTCGTTACTGCCAGATGTCCTCCAGTGGCTCCATCATGGATTTCTTTGAGCACCTTCCGTCGTCTGCTCTTGGGTACCACTGTCTGGCGCCTTTCTTCTGCACCGTCTTCAGACTCCAACACCCGCTTCAGAACCCCGTTTTCCAAGGTTAGGGAGTTCTATTGTGCCCAGTAGTAGGACTTAACCGCTGGCGAATAACCTGCTACCTCCTGCCACGATGGTCTTCGATTATTTTTCTTCTATCCGATGACTAAACCAAGACCTTGATCTTTCTCTTGGTCTTCCCTGATCATGTTGTCCTTCCGGTTGTCGTCTACAGCTGTAGTTCTATAAATAACTGCTTCCTTCTCTTCTGCTCGTCGGTAATGTGGGCAGCCATCGGGACATGGTCTCCGTGACAGGGCATCTGCGTTTCTTACGGGGGCTTGCTGTATACAGGCTGACGATTTTTCCTTCTCACGGAACCTTTATAGTTTTCTTGATTTGGTGTTGGTTCTTTGAGATTTGCTACGCACAATATCAGCAGGCACTTGTCCATCTTCCTCGATAGCTCGAACTTTGCTCTGGCTCTTGCAGAATTGTTTTGCAGCCTCAAACTCCAGAGCGCTTGCCAGTGCATCCATGAGATGTTTGGGATGAGCTAGCGTCAAGGCCTGCCTCGTTTCTTGGTCGCGAAATCCATCCAAGAATGCCTGTACTGCTAACCGCTCCATTACATTTTCTGGTGTAGCAGGATATGCCAGACGGACCAAATGAGCTATGTCTACTTCAAACTCCTGTAGGGATTCTCCTGATTTCTGGCAGCGGTTCTTCAGCTGTGAATGGTAAACGTGCTCTAGGTGGGCCTGTCCATACCGCAGCTCAAGATGCTTCACAAGTTGATCATAGTCTTCCTGTTCCTGGCAACGCCAATGTTAATGCTACCGCTTTTTCTCCTGCATTCCATCCATTCGCTCTGGCCGCAGCTTCAAATTGTCGGCGGTAATTTGCCCAAGGAATTTTTCCGTCGAACTGGGGCTGCTTCATGGAGAGCTTTCCTGGTTCAGAACTGGCTTTGAACTCTTTCAGTTCCAGAATGGAGTTTTCGGAAACCGTTTCTGTAGGGTGGGCAAAATTAACGATTTGGTTTTGGAACTTGCTAATTGTTTCCTTTATCTCGCTGATTTCTGCCTGAACTCCTCCTTTGATTTCCTCTACTTCTGTGTTCATTTCCTTCCTGATTTTATCTATCTCTGTTTCGATGGTTCCTATCCTCTCTTCGAGTAGACTCGCCACACCACAAAGTTCTTTCTTTAGGCCTTCTGCATTTTCCAGAAGTTCTTCCTTCAAACTATTCGAATTCTCTAGAAATTTATCTTCCAAAATTTTCGAATTTTCTAGAAGCTTGTCTTTTTCGTGTATAATAATTTACAGGGAAATCCTCTGATCTGTGTTTTCACAATTTCATAAAATTATTATACACTCAATTGCCCAATGAAATTTCGAAAATAATAAATACGCGCGCACGTTTTAACCGATCAAAAATAATATTACATAATAACAATAATAAAAAATGGCATTTATTTTACTTGGCGGAGTTTAGCATACATCAATATTCTTCTCATTAAGAAACAACCTCAAATCCTCCGGGCTTACCATTTACAAAACTGTCGATAACATTCTCAGCTATATGTATATAAAACGAATAATATCTGAAAAATATTAGGTTGTTTCAAAAGTTCTGTCTGATCTCATTAGTTAACTTTAAACTGTAATATCTCAGTGAATACTCATTTAATTTAATCGAAATAAGTGCTATCTGAATTAGTACACTTTTGCCAACGTAACACAAGTCGATTAATTCCGTCCGCATAAAAGTGGGTGCTCGGGATTCGATGAAGTCGACGAAGGCCGTTTTTATCTGGTGCTGATTGACGAAGGTTCTACCGGTAAGAAATTTATCGAAGTACTTGAAAAGATGGTGGTAAGTACCGTTATCCCACGTACCGTTTGTGATGGATATGTCTCCACTGGGGTTAGGTTAGGTCAAAAGTGAGTGGGTCTATTCGACCCTCCACCGCAACCCGCATAGGTTTATTGTGGCTCACACATATTCACACTCTACCAAATAAGCCCAGCTTCTTAACGAAGCCGATTAGTTTGTATGGTGAGTGGTCTTTCAGGTCATATGGTAAGAGTACGGCTCTGCCGAACTCTAAAAACTCAATTGGGTCCCCAGCGGGGCAGGCACAAAGTATATGCTCTGCAGTTTCATTATTTTCCAGACAGAGGCGACACACACTGGAAGATTCTGCCAGTAGCCCATGAATCTTCTTGCCATCCAGGTGTTCAATGTTTGTTTGGCAAAGCCCAAAGCGATGCCAATGACAGGTTCTGGTCCGATGAAGCTGCTTGCAGCACCCTCTTTTGCAAGGGAGTCAGCAGCCTCATTACTTTCCTGGTCAGTATTAGCTGGGAATCCAGACCAGGGACAATATGTTGAGTCTTCCTATGGAGGAGAGTCGTTTATGGCAATTTGCTTCCAATTTAGACGTTGCTCGGTAGGAGCCAAGAGCTTCCAACGCCGCTTGACTGCCCGAGAACATTTTTAGTGACTTGTGTAGGAGGTTGGATTCTTCCAATCTCTCTGCACACAATTCAATAGCGTAAATTTTCGCTGGAAATATACAGTCCCATGAGTTCCTAGGCAGTTTGATATTGTTTTTCGAAAATGAGCAATTTAGAAAAGTTGATGTAGCTTTTTTCCTGTAAAAAATTTCTTGTTTCTATGAAAACATTTTCTAAGTCCTTTTTTACGTGGAATTCAATGGTGTAAAAAACTTATTTTTGCAAATGAGATAGAGATAGTTATTGATGGAAAACAATTTTTTAATGAAACACCCTGTATATTCCTGTATATTTCAATAGAGCTTGAAATAACGTTCTTTCAAAAATGTTGCACACTTGATGTTTTGCATTGAAATACAGAGCTTTTCAGATTTTTCATGTAGACTTTGAAAAAGCACACTTTGATCAAGTAGGCTTTGGACGATGCGGCGATAAAACAGAATGCAAATCTTTACCCGTAGCTGCCAAATTTTGATTCAAGCCATGAAGACCCTCTTCAATTAATAGTTTTTGTTCAATTTTACAAACCTGGAAAGATGCAGAAACAGCCAGTAATTTGTAGCACGAGCGAGAAGACAATCTTTTAGAGACATTTTCGCAGGATTGCGATACAACCTAATTGATAGTGGTCAATTTGAAAAGAAAAGGCCAGTATTATATGAATGAAATAGGGATGAGGAGTTGGGAGGAATAGTCGTTTTGGGAGCTTTTGAAAATAATCCCAAAACGCGAAATTTAAAAATATCAACAGGCCTACCAAGAACCAACGTTAGGAGAATTTTGAAAAAGCACAAATTCAGATCGGGAGATTCTAAACGCCGCTTGGCTTTTTGCCAGAGATTTCTGGAAAGTTGTAAACAAGTAAATTGTATTTTTAAATTACCGACCGATTCTAGATACGAATTGGAAGCGGCAGTAATGCAAAGCTTTGCATCACTGCCGGCAGAAAAGATGTCGCCTGTATAGGAGAAGCTGGTAGACATTTCGAACACCTTCTCTGAAGAAATATATTCCATTGTTTGTTCTTCAGTAGTGGATTTAATGACTTTGGGTGTGGTTTTTCGAAATTAGTGCGCATAAACGCACAAACAGAAAAAAATGTTAACAACAAAGACATGCATAATTAGTGATACTTCAATTATTGAACAGAAAATATTGCACAAAAATTTATTTGTTCATATTGAGAATGACTAGTCAAAAATGTTCTTCAATATCAATATTTATTGATTGGTAATTAACAAATGTATCTGAGCAATATTAATGTGGAAAATCCATATTTTTTCAGGAAATTATTAGTGTTACCCATAATTGAATTCCCTAGCGATTATTGTGAATATCTTACAAAACAGACATTTGTTTATAACAATTTCTCAAACAATGAGAGTGATCAAAATATTATATTCATGCAGTTTTCTTCGGTTGAAAAATCGAACAATCGAAATATATGAAAAAGAAATTTTTTGATACCTTAACTTCACTTGTGATGCACTGTTTAGAACCTTTGGTGTAGTGATGAATATTTTTGGAGTTTTATCCTAACTCCAAATCGTTATTTCAACACCTCCACACGTGTTTCGATCACCAAGTGAAGATTAATCCTCTTTTTGAAGATGATCTCTTGGTGATCGAAACACGTGTCGAGGTGTTAAAATAACGGTTTGGTGTTGGGATAAAACTCCAGTAATATTCACCTTAACTTGAATTTTTCATTTTTTCATTCTTCGAATTGGTGAGTACAAAAATATGATGTTTTTTAGAGGGATCTGTTTTAAAGCCTTTTAACAATAGACTCGAGAAGTGGAAAGAATCAAGTATTCAGTTTGAAAAATATCAGGATATAAGTTTCCAAATTTTAAAAATCCCTTGAGTATCATGGAAATCATAGAAACATTTTCTGCAATGTATTGCTGTTCATTCATTCTATGACATTTCATATTTTGGATATTTAGCAAACTTCTCGAGATATCTGTAAAAAAAGAAACTCGTTACTTGTGCAGAACTTGAAATTTTTCAAAAAGATTCCAGATATCGTTCTGAATAAAATGACACCCCAGACAATTTTTGGTGACGGTGGTCTGGAAATCCTTGAAAAAAACTTATTGCTCAGATTTCATCAAGGTTGCTTCTCATATTTGGGTTTCTAATCTTGTGGATGACTCTTTAGTGGAAATAAACGAGCAGCCTCAATATGCTAAGTAGCACAACTTCATATATAAGAGCAATACTTTTCAGGTCAAAATAGTTTTCTGAGTTTCTGAGAAGCTTGAGGATTATATATCTTCATCTCACGCAATCGTCATTCAAGTAACGGTCATACTAACGATGAATATATAATTTATAAGTCGTCTTGTGATATATCAAAATAATGCATCTTTGAACATTCTTTACATGAAATATTCAATTCATCTTTTATCCACCGATCTTAAGGATCATTAAAAACTTGATATATTTTTTTAGATAATAACTTCTGTACGTAATTATATAAATTCATTTGATTCAAAACAAAAAAAAACAAAAAAAAAAGCTATGTGGTTGAAGACCAAAGAGAGAGACAACAAAACAATATCATGGACACTGACAGCTGTCCATGTTATTCTTATGTTCTTATTGAACATGTTATTCTTATTTATTGTTCTGTGCCATCGAAATTGGCCTTTTAATTATTTGTATGGTTGCAATACTGGTTTAGTTAGTTTCTCTGACATATGCCATAAGTACTAGTTGTAGAGTTGTAGATGTATCGCTCATGTTTTAATTTCATCCATGTTTTGTCTTGTTTATTTAACAAGAAATATATTAATATTGTGCAATTGGTGTTGATGTTTATTGACCTCTCAGCGGACGCTGCGTTGTGTAAACCAACTCTGCTCAACAGAACAAGGTGTGTTTGTTTGTCTATGCTACAACTATAAAGCAATGAAGAACAATTATGGTGCAAGTAGTTAAGGAGAAATATGGAATGTTAGAGATGCAGTCAAATTACAGGGCTGTTGTTGAAAGAATACTCTTTGTCATATGGTCGAGCTTTCGAGAATGCTTTTCTCTTTATCAAGACAACTAGAAAATTTTTCCTTGTGGTAAAGCTGAGGAAGCGTTAACAACATTCAACAGTTTTAACGAACGCTTACAATTCACAGCTTAGGAAGAAGGTAACAATAGTTTACCGTTCCTAGATATGCCTGTATGCAGAGATTCAGATAATATTCTACGCCCAAAATGGTATAAGAAATTATGTACCAGTAACAGGTTTCTGAACTACTATTCTCAACATCCAACGAAGATGAAAATAAACTTAGTCCTAACCATGAAGAACAAGGTGATCAATTTGACACATCCAGATTTTAAAAACGAATGTATTAACGAATTGAAAAATATTTTTCTTGAAAATTCATATCCTTGCAAACTTTTGAATAAATTACTTTTTCGCTCACCATCCATAGTCACGAATATATTTCCAAATAATTCAAATGATCCTATAAACAATAATAATTCAGAAAATAATTTAAATATTTCAAATAGTGGAGAGATACCTCCTAGTACTTCGTTTTTCAGTTCATATTCATATTTTCATATTCATATTCATATTCATATTTTCAATCTCTAACACCTAAGCTCCTTAACGTGTTCAAAAGTGAAATTATAAAATTTGCCCAACGCATCGTTACCACTACAAATAGTCTGTTTTCCAAAACTTAATCTCCTTCGAAAACTTTAGAAAAGTCGAATGTAGTATATGAAATTTCTTGTCATACATATGACAAGATATATATTGGACAAACATCTAGAAATGTATCTGGACGCTTAACGTCACACAAAAGTGATTGTAACACAAATAAATCCATCTGTGCACTCGCAGAACATGCCATCAGCACTAAACCACAATGAACTATACCGAAGTTAAAGTTTTGTGCACTGAAAGCAACTTACAAGAGCGGCTGTTTGAAGAAATGTTCTTTATCAAAAGGAATACCAACAACATGAACAAAAAGACTGGTCTCAATAATTTCAGCAATATTTACAATTATATTTTAAAATTTGAGCTAATTCCTCCAGTTCCCACAAGCAACATGTAGTTTTGGGTTTGGGCGCAGTGCTGAGTCTATCGAAAATCTCTTGTGTCAGTTGGAAGTGAGTGGCAGCACTGTACCCAGAGTCAAACAGCTACTTTTGATTGGGTTTGCCTAGTTTTTGATGTGCCTTATGGAAATCCTGTCGTTCTTTTGTCAAATTGTTAAACTTCAAATGTCTTTTTCACATTGTCAATTATCAAATTCCAAATATTTCCTCTTTTCTCTCTCTCTTTAGTAGCTACCACGCCATCGAGTAAGTGCCAAGCATGAGCCAGTATTTTTTTTTTTTCAGTAAAATGAGTTCTTATACTTTTTCTCTGTAATGTTAAACTGAATGTGTGACACTTTTCTACATGACCATTATTATTGCCCTTACCTCTGCTTCAAATTCTTCTAATCTACCTCCATTCATCACAATCAGATGAAGAACATTTCTTTTGCTGACATCTTTGAGATTTATATTGGCCCCAAGTCTGAAAATATATGTATATTTATTTAAGACGTAATGTGACTTATTATTTTTTCTAACAGAAATATTCAAGACATAATTCAATATACAGGATGTAACTAAATAAGTGTAAAACATTCAAGGAGGTGATTCCTAATCGAAAAAAGATACGATCTTTCATATAAAGAAATTTCATTGGAGCATCCCTTGTTAAGATACAGCCCCTCAAAGGGGGTACATAAAATTTGTATAACAATTTTTTCACAAGCACTAAGAAAGTTACAATATTGAAATTTTGTATTACCAAAAAGACACTTAGCCAGAAATTTATTTGGTTTACCCCATGGTTGTAAGGGGTGGAAAACGCAACCTCTAAAATTTATTTCCAATGTAACTTTTTGTCTTATTATTTATTTACTATTTAAAAATTTATTTCCGATAGCCTGTTTCATTCTGAACAAAAATGTTCCCTAAGTTTTTTGCCCAAAATAAACCAGTTCGCAGCAAAAAATTATTTTAGGAACAACTACAGAGATACATCGTCATAAATGCGAAAATACGAAACTAATCTATCTAGTAGGTCGCTATTAGCGATAGTGACAATTAAATTGGTATGACGCAGTCAGTTTGTGAATTTTCGAAATTGAATTAATACTAATTGTGTGTTGTTGTTCTGTTCTTGATTTGTTACTTTATTTTCATAATTACCACACATGGGCCGATGAAAAACCTCACGCTATTGTCGAAACTAACCATCAAGAACAGTTTTCTCTTAACGTGTGGCTTGGAGTTATTGGGGATGATTTAATTGGGCCTCATTTTCTACCTCCTCGATTGAATGGTGAGGCATACGTTCAATTTTTAAGAGAAGTCATCCAATACGGCTGGAGGAAGTTCCTTTGGGCGTCAGAAGGGATATGTTTTTCATGCAAGATGGGGTTCCCTCCCATTTTAGTCAAGTAGCACGTCAGCATTTAACTGAAACATATGCAAATCAGTGGATAGGTCGAGGAGGACCGCTCGATCCATGAATCTCAATCCTTTCAATTTCTCTATTTGAGGCCATTTACAGCATTTGGTTTATCGTACTCCTGTTCGCGATGTAGAGGACTCAAGAAACCGCATCGTCGAAGCGTGCAGGGTAATCAGAGAGACTTCAGGAAAATTTGAGCGAATACGTCGCTTAGTGCGCCGACGTCTAGACGCATGCGTAATGTCTGAAGGTAGACATATTGAACATTTACTATGATTTCTACATGTGTGTTTTGTTATTAATGAATTAGTTTTGTTTATTACCCTTTAATCGTTTAATGCATGCAAGCAACAAGTACTTGCACTTCCCTACATCAGAGGATTATCGGATTATTCTTGGAATTTGGGATCCATACACACCTGATTGATCTATCTACTTGATCTCTTATAGTGATATAACAGTTATAAAATAGTTACTTCAATAACTTCTCTCAAAGTACCAAACACACTAATATAATGAATTTATTTAGAATATTGAGAGATATTGTTATAAGTTCAGAGAATTGTTGTATCAAGTTACACCACGAAGCCAGTGAGAAAATTTGTTCAACTACTTTTGTTTCACTAAATCATCTTATTTATATAAAAGAATATTTCAAAAACTGGTAACTAACCGAATTAATGTGTGAACCGTTCTCCAACAACCTCTTGAGGCGGCCAACAATAATGGAGACCTTTTCTCTTTGTCCATAGCATTTATATCAGCTCCTTCCTGAATTAGATATTCCACGATTTCATGATGATCAAACATTGCTGCGCAGTGGAGAGGCGTCATTTTCTGAATGTCACAAGACTGCAGACTAGACACTTTTTCTTCTGGTTGAATGTTGAACATCAATTTCACTATGTCAATGGCCCCTTGGGCACATGCAAGATGAACTGCTGTGGACAGATCTTGCTGTTGTATAGAAATTTTTGCACCGGACCTGCGAACATATTTTTCATGAAAATATGGCCTTTGCATTGATCAGTGTATTCATTTGGTTTAAATTAATTTTCTTTTTTTGTTGAACTTATCAATGCAATAAAACATTATTATTCACAATCATCTTCAAGAAGATCAGCAGAAAGATATATACAACGAATGGTGGGAGTTTCCATTCATTTGACTGATGTATCTTCGAAGAAACGTGGAAATTTTATTCTATATTCAGAAAATGGAAAACCATACATTGCACTTTTTTGTTTTTGACGAAATAGTAACCATTCATTTTCTCAAGATGCATACATACATGTTCATAGTAGGGAACAAAAAAACAATAATTGAAAATTATAACATAACGGAGTACCAACATTGCACGAAAAAAAAATTAACCAGAACAGAAACGTGAAAAAAATAGATGATTGAATATATTCTAAGAGTCTCAAAAATGATTATCAAAATACACATAAATGTACACATCAGAGAATATATGTAATATGTATACACCAGGGTGGCCCATCTACAGTGGGTCCATCTACAGTGGGCCCATCTACAGTGGTATAAAAAATACCCCCTACTTCACCCCCCTCAACGTGATAGCCACCCCCCCGAATTTTTTAAAAGCAAAAGGAGGTTGAGTGATACCTCATTTTGGAGGGTATTCAATTTTCTGTACAGCTATATCATTATCTTTTAATTTTGTGCATGCGTAAAAAAAAATGAATAAATTGTGTTATCTAAATCATTTATTGAAGCGGTAGCAATCAATGTGCAACTAATGGAAGTCTTCAGATCAACTGTTCAAACTGACAGCCATTTGTTTCTTGACAAGTATAAAGGCGTTGCTGAAAGTTATCAACAACATCTTGAATGGTTTTGGGAGTTATATGTTCTATTTCTTCTCTAATTCTGATTTGCAAACTTTCAATATTGTTTGGTCTATTGACGTATACTTTGGATTTTAGGTAACCCTACAAAAAGTAGTCAAGCGGTGTCATGTCGGGAGAACTGGCTGGCCACTTTATGGCACCTCGTCTACCAATCCATCTGTTGGGAAAAACTTCATTCAGATATGCACGAACGTCAGCTGCAAAATGTCTTGCTGATACCAGGTACTATTTGATTCGGATTATCATTATCTGGAAGAAGTCTTTTCAGCGTTGGAACTAAAAAATTAGTCAAAAACTCCAAGTACCGTTCACCGGTTAATGTTTCGTTGAAAAAATATGGTCCAATTATGCGATTATTTATAATCCCTGCCCAAACATTTACTTTTCTGGGATATAGAGTGTGGGAATTTTTTCGGCTCCAATATCGGCAGTTCTGTCTGTTGACGGTTCCATCAAAAAAAAAAGTTGACTCGTCGGAAAACAATATATTTTTCTTAAACGAAGGATCCCGTAGACCCCTGGCTTCCATTATGTCGCAAAACTCAGTTCTGCAATCTGGATCGTTTTCGTTGAGTTCATGTACCAATTGTACTTTATAAGGGTGATACTTTTCATTTTTAAAAACACGCAATATCGAACTTTGACTTATGTCGTAATCGGCGGCAAGTTGTCGGGTATGGTTTATATGGATTCTCATCGATTTCTCCCAAAATATCCAATTTCTTTCCATCGTCAATCAATACACTTCCGCCTGGTTTAGAAATATCTTTGACAGTCCCAAATTCACGAAATTTCGTTTCTATTCTACTAACGATAGATTGAGAAATGTGATGATCAGGATATTTATTATTGAACATTTCACTTACATTCTTCTGGGTTCTAGTTTTGTCCCCACATCCTATAGTAGTATTAACACTTCTACTCTTTGACGTTCAGTCAAATGAGACATTGATAAAACTTTTATCCTATTGTCTGAAAGTAATACTGAACAAGAAACACAAACAACAACTGCAAAACTGTTTCTCTTCGGCAAGTTCACAGAAAACATACATTTTTTTACTCAACTATCACGGCTGACAAACAACGGTTGGTAAAAACGAACAAAACAACCTACGTGATACCTTTCAACACTTTGAATTTTTCGTTTCATTATGATGCATGCACGAAATTGAAAATAAAGATATGGCTGTACAGAAAATGGAATACCCTTCAAAATGAGGTATCACTTGACTCCCTTTTGCATATAAAAAAATTGAGGGGTGGCTGTCACGTTCAAGGGAGTGAAGGAGGGGGATTTTTTTCTATGTAACAGAGTGTCATTTTGAATACATAATTCGACGTGTTTCAGGGTTTTTCTTGAAAATGGCTAATAACGTAGAAAATGAATTTATCCGTTACATATGGTGCTCACTGTATATGGATGTGAAACATTTTTTGAAGGTTTTTTACCGGGCCTCTCTGTGATAATGTTCCTTCATACTGAAAGAATAAACCACCAAAAATTCAATTGAATCCGACAAGATGAAAACGTGCCGCTAGCAGGTGAAAATATTAGGTACAGGTACATACATAAGCCTCATTTTAATAGCTATTAAGGACCGAACGGTGTCAGACTGTATGGTTGCCTGTAATTGAAATATTAACTTCTCAATTGGTCACTTCTAAGAATGAAAATCCTCTACACATAGTTGTTTTCTGGGAATTTTTGTGTATTTACAGCGGCTTAGCCAGTCACCACCATAGTATACACACATATTTGATACAGATAATATACATGTTACGGTTGAAGTATTTACTAGTTGGATAGTTTGTATACTAGTTGTATACTAGTTTGTATACTATCCAACTGCCTGGTTATTTTGGTGAACAATCATATTTTCACTAAAATAGCTACGAGTAATGGCTGGTTTGTATACTATCCAGCTAGTTTATAAACTATACAAACTTTATCGCTAAAAAACAAACCACAAGGAAATTACACAAATTAGCTAGCATTTTTGGCTAGTTTGTAACTATCCACATTAGTTGGATAAAGTGTGAACCTGATATTGGTAGTAATACATAATAACCAACGAGTTGGTTAGTATGTAAACCAACCAATTCTCTTTGGGTAATTTAGTGGGGTTATGTTTCGTCAAGTGTTGTGTGTTGTGACGGTGTATAGTTGTGTCTCGTGAAATTTGTTTAAGAATAGGTATCGGGTTATTATTATTATTATTAGAAGTTTACGACCAAAAGTCTCAAAATTCAAAATTAATGAATGATAGCGATTATAGTGAACTTTTGCAACGTATCAAGAGAATATGCGAAACGGGACCTGATAGTAGTAACAAGAGTGATTATGATGTGATAAATTATGAGTTGCGGGGGAACCACTGTCTCTCTCTTATGGGTGTTTGACAAGCCCCCGGTGCAGACCACACGGCACTCACCCAGTAAAGTTATCGGTCAACTACCCAATCCCGCACCTGCGGGTAACAGGCGTTGGCCGGTTTCAAGCTAGATGTGTGGGACAGGTGCCTCGTAAGAGCCCTCGGAGGTTACTCATCCAACGCTGGAAAGGTAGCTTTCCTAACATGAGTGACCCTTGGGGTAACGTAAGGGTATGCGGTGCAGACCACACGGCGAACACCCAAAAGTTGTTGGCGAACCGCCCTATCCCGCACCTACACGGGTAATGAGCGCGACGTCTTCGACATAAGATGTGTGGTAGAGGATGCTCGAAAGAGTCCTCGATGGTTACTCATCAAACGTTGGAAAGGGAACTTTCCTAACATGAGTTCTAGGGGGTAACCGGCCCCCCAGGCCCCCCGGTGCGGTCGTAACTATGACTCTCTTAATGGTTTATTTATGATTTACAAAGAATCGAATCATCTTATGTAATTCTACATAGAAGATCTGGAAAGATTATTTTACGTTTGAGTGAATGTTATGATGCGACTAAAGCTGCCCATCAGGGAACTGGGCATGGAGGGCGTCAAGCAACAACAAAATTATTAAATGAAAAGTATCACAACTTAACACAGGAAATGGTAAAATTGTTCATTGAAACTTGTGAAAATTGTTAGCTCAAACGGAACAAAACTAAAAAGGGAATTGTTGTTAAACCAATTGTTTCAAATTATTTAAACTCTCGATGCCAAATCGATCTCATCGACTTACAAACTAGACCAGATGGTGACTACAAATTTATTTTTGTCTACCAAGACCACCTAACCAAATACGTCAGGTTGAGAGCACTAAAAACGAAGAAAGCTAAAGAAGTAGCTGAGCACCTATTAAAAGTATTTGCAGACTTAGGAAGCCCTTGCGTGTTGCAGAGCGACAATGGCCGAGAATTTGCAAACCAGGTGGGTATTACGGTAAAAGGCATGCTAGAAAGGACATGGCACTGTTTATGGGCATTTTGGCCGTCTGTATTTTTTGTATGTTATAGCTGACATTAAAAGATTTTTTCCTTTGCGCCAAAGTCCTAGACCTACTGGGTGTACCGGAAAAATGGGCCCAAAGTTGAGCTTTTGAATTTTACATGTATTTTGAAGTGCCATGTCCTTTATTACAAATTCCCTAAATGTTGCTTGTATGGATGAAATAAAACAAAATTAATACATTTTGATTTTTTAGGTGATTGGGGAATTAGTCGGAATTTGACCTCACTGCCATATTGTGCATGGTAAATCGAGACATTCACAATCACAAGGTTCAGTGGAGAGGGCGAATCAAGATATAGAGAACAAGTTAGCGTCGTGGATGAAAGATAATAACTCGACAAAATGGAGCGAAGGTTTAAAAATCGTTCAATTTAAAAAAAATCGGTGAGTAGGCTAGTATTTTGAAATTTAAGAAAAGAAACTGTGTTTTTCTAATTCATTTGCCAGTTGTGAAAACGGCGCAGTGGCATAATTTTGTATCTGTTTTGTTTGCGTGAGTATAGGTGAATACAATAGTGACTCTGTGTTTGTATAAGTTGCGTTTCACCTCAGTTCATTGTTTTTTGTAGCTGCTTTCATTCCTTATGAAGCTTTATATGGTGTAAAATGTAGAGATGGTTTAAATAACCTTCCTGTTTTTATCACAAACAATACGTACAGAGGAAGAACTGGAAACATTATTA